CCACCTTCTGTTTTGCTACAGGGTGGGATGTGGGCTAGGGAAGGCGGGAATCCTAGGTCGTGAAAACAGGATGAGCCGAAAGTCCCACTGGAATACTCCCTTCTTCTTGAAGCCTTTTGCATATCCCTAATAAGAGTTAAGCAGCACCCTGTCATGTGCTCCCGCCATACTTTGTGCCTCTGTTAACAAGCCTGCGCTGTCTGGTGCTGCTTGTATTTGTGCATGTCTTCCTCCTTGAAGGCACGAACCCCGTGTCAATCGCTTTGCCCTTCTTCCCAGTACTCAGCACAAGTGCTCAAAACATGTTTCTTGAATATGCGTGAGACAGAAAGAAAGGGAGCTGCGGGGTGGGATCGGGAGAGGGAGGCCTCCGAGTGTCGTCTCGCGGGTTCGGGCTTGCTCTGCAGGCAGCGATGGGCCAGGGCCGCTTTTGCACAGAGCAGCAGTGATGGGAGCTGGGAGGCCGGCAGTGCCGCGAAAGGGACGACAGCAAGGGGGCCGCGCAGTGGCGGCGCGAGAGAGGGCAGGTGGCGTGGGCGCAAGCAGCTCCCATCGTGTGAATCTGGGCGTTCGTTCACATGCACGAATTGAGAAAAAGACGGCATTGAGCATGGTCTTTAGGTTTCCGGCCTGGAATGTTGGGAGGCGGAGAGAGGCTTCTTACCGAAACAGGGACCCTGGGCAATTTTACGGGGATTATTTAAAAAGTTCAGTACGGCCCTACCTCTTCCTCATCCAAAATTCTCCCTGAATTCGAAACCACATGTGCTATTGAAAGATTTTATTGTATCAAATATGCTGGGAAATGAATGAAATATTGCCTCCACTTGAGGTATGAAACACTGACTTTGGTGTCGTTGACATTTTCACTTGTCTTTAGTAACAGTTTTATTAAAACTGTTAGTAACTGCTAGTAACTGTTAGTTACTGTTAGTAACTGCTTTTTTAACCTTGAAACATGGCCCTCTGAAGGCAGCTTACCATAAACGAAACGGTTGTCAACTTTCTTTTGGCTCCTTGGTCCCTCCTGCCCCTTCCTAACAGCAGAAAATTTGCTTTGCACCTGCTCCAACTGGGTTCTAAGTGATAAGCATCTTGCAAGCCCAGCAAATTGTAGTATCAAATCTCAGCCCCAACTGTGAGGCAGCACTATCATCGAATCCCTGCTGAGACGCGTTGCTTTCCCAATTCCCAGGAGAAGAGTTCCTTCTCCCCTGGCCCCTTTTTAGGCTTGAACTGTGACCTAAGTCCTCTTTTTAGCTACCAGCATGCATTGCTCTGGGTGCTGGCACTGACCACCCCTGCTCACTCTATTCTGCCCTAGGGCAGAATAGTAGGTCAGGCGTTGGTAGCCCTGAGGTCACTGGGGTGCCCAATTCCAATAATGAGCATATTTATCTAAGGAGAGGAAATGTACCCTTCTATTTTTTACAGACCGTTGCTTTTTTCCCAGAAACAAATGCTTGATATACTATCCGTGCTTTGGTAAATATACATAAGCATTGCCTAACATTCATAAAGTTGCTTTTATTTACATCTTCCTTCAAAAATTAAATGCTTGTTATATCTCATGATTTTCAGAGGGATATACCAATTTCACTGCAAGGAAAATTTAAAATAATATTTTTTGTGGATGTTTTAAAATAATGCCATATTCAGTAATACTCTAGCAAGAATTTCAAATAAAAATAGCAAATACTTTTTAAATATGTATATAACATTCTAACAGAGTTGGGTGTCATTTTAAAGGGAAAGACAAAAATGCTGACAGAGATTTTATAATTTTGCATTTATGTTTTCTTTTTAGGTTTCTCAAACAGACCAAAGTCATTAAAAATACTCCTTAATCCCCAAAGTCATAAAAAAGAAGCTATACAGATCTATTGTGAGAAGGTTGAACCTCTGTTGAAGCTTGCAGGAATAAAGACTGATGTAACAAGTAAGTTATTTTCAGAATATAATTTCACCATTTAAAAAAAATTTTTTTACAGAATTAAGATAACCTGAATTTGTTCTTAATGCAAACTTGGGAAGCTGTATATAAAGTAACTAAAGTTTTTTTATGTGCTTTCATAATCTGCTACAGCCAGCTCCAGGGTTATAATTTAATTATTTTTGTTTTTTATGGTGTTATTTTTATTAGAATATCAGCATTTCCTCATTAGGCCTTTTTAAGACTTTAACAATTGTTAGACGTGTTTTTAAAAGAAGCCGTGTACTTTTTGATATTTTTGTTGAGATGCTTTCCATTGACACATTATTTCTGCAGTTTGGCAAGCAATTGATTTTCGCTCATTATATGGTTGATGTCTTTCCGTGGAATTCTTCATTAGGTTGTTTTTGTTCTGACTCTGACCCCTGCTGGTTAGGTCAAAACTAAGCACTTAACTGCTGGGTTTAGATAAATTTAGAGAAGCCAGAAGCTTAAATTCACTGTCTAAAATAAGAAATGTGTTTATGTTTGTGCCAAGGAAAATAGAAATTTGCTAATGCTAAGATTAATAGAAAGAAGATTAGTAATATCCTTTTAGACTTTTTGAATTTGGTGACCAAATTCCTTTGTTTTTTGGAGACTCCTTTATTTTTCCCATGGCAGAGGATTAAGAAGAAGGTTGATGATGAGGATCACAATTTTTCTAGCTTTTTTCAAATGTAGCTTCACTAACACACAGTATAAGTTTGCAATAAATTTTAATTGATGAAGAATATTGCAGAATAAGCCTACTCAGGAGACAATCCCAGAATGCAATTGGAATCTCCAGGTCCCAATTATAGATTTCCTGTGGAAGGGATTCAGAGTGATCTGGCTTTATTCAGCTACAGCCAAGGGTGATGGATCTCACAGTGTAAATAGGTCGTTGAAACCCACACGTTGTGACTCTATGACTTGATGGACCGGGGCAGAAGGAAGTTCCTTAAAAAAGGGGGGTGGGCAGTGAGCTTTGTGGGAATGCCAGCCACCACAGAAGGCATCTACTACAACAGAGGTTCAAGAGAAACTACTATGAGAAACTTAAGAGGAATTGCTGAATTAAAATAAAGTTGTAGTGAAGAAGTGAAGAAGTTAACCTTTCATGTTTGTGACCTTTGGCTTACTTAGAGGTGATTTATAAGGAAAAGAGAAAATTCGGACCTATCATTTCTTTCTACTGAAGACTTTCAAGGATTGGGTGAAGGGAAAGTTTGAGGATCATATTAGGATGAGACCATTAAAAGTTGAATAAAGTTGTTGGCAAACAGTAATGTTAACTATTTTGTATCATTGACTTATGTCAATACTACAAAACAGCTTGACATGAATATTACTATATATCATTCAGTTCGAGAATCTCTCCTGGAATGCTTGCTCTGTGTTTAACATTGTGCAGACTGCAAGATGAAACAGCTGTCATACCTGCTCTTGAATGAATTTTAGGTTATTAGGGATTCAAATAGATATTTAAATTTTATAGTTGAAGTATACATAAAAGAACTGTGGTGTCTCAGATGGTGATATTAATTTTGATCGAAGGCTCAAGAAAAGCATTTGGAGAGGAGAGTATTTAAGAGGCAGAGAAGGCAAAAGGCGAGGGAAGGAAGGCAGGTGCAGGCATGTACAAGTAGAACATGTGAGTGTGAGCGTGTTACACCCGTAGTATCTTGGGAGTTTGTTCCATAACTTTTCTCTACCTTCCTCAGTTTTGACTTCATCTTAAATCCATCACCATAAAATAGCTGCCAGTGAATTTGATCATGTCTTATTCATTACTAGTGGGATGGGAAGAGGTGTGTATGTGTGAGAGCAAGACCCGACATGCTTTAATCCTGAAGATGGATTAAAATTTCTTTCTTTTGGTTTGACTGTGCTAATAGGGAACCTGTACCCTACCTGGAACGGTCATTCCCTTAACCACTAGTGGCTGAAGTCAGACCCCTTTTCTTGAAAGCTAAAGCTGCCTTACCTGAATCCTGATCCTGTTAGAGAGAAGAAAGGGCAAAATGGCTTCTGGGAAGGGTTGCAGCAACGTGTACTATAGGAAGTTTGAGTCCAGGTTATGGGTGGATCTATATGCTACACTCAACAGTTCATTCATCATGCATTGATCCACAGTTGGGTTTTTTTTATCATAGTGTTGTAATCTGGTTTGACAAAGATGATTCCACCAGCAGAATAAGTGTTAGAAAGGAAGAAAGAGAGAGAATGGAGAAAAGGAAACTGGCACATGAGACCTGAACTAAGGCAGGGGTAATGGTAGGAATACAATTGTATTGGAGAGAAAAAGACTGTGTTCTAGGGTTTTTTTCCCCCTAAACTTTTAAATATTATTAAAAATAACATTTAATTTAACATAAAACAAAATTGAAATTTAAATAAAGCAAATTTAGAATTTATTTATATATTTGTGCAGAATGGATAATAATTAGTTGCCTAACACTCCTCCTACAGGCAAAATTATAAAATTACGTCCTTTGCTTATAAGCTATTTTAATATATATATTGCCTAAATATTTATAAAAAAATGTTTCCTATTTTGTATAAAAGACTGAATAAACATGTAGATAGTTGAAAAGTTTTAGTCTTCCTGCCTACTTTACAGTGTTTTGTAGTTCAAATGAGGTAATATATTTGAAACTAATTTCTATATTATAAAGTTCTATAGAAGTATGGTAATAATGCTGTTAGTTTCAGTTTCATAAAATTATGTAATAAGATTCAATTCACTTTTTATTTGAAGTTACAGTGTTTTGTAGTTCAAATGAGGTAATATATTTGAAACTAATTTCTATATTATAAAGTGCTATAGAAATATGGTAATAATGCTGTTAGTTTCAGTTTCATAAAATTATGTAATAAGATTCAATTCACTTTTTATTTGAAAGAAAAGATATATAAAACAGCAAAGTAGAAAGAGTACATATCTTCTGCATGTACAGTGTGACTATTGTCTTAACGAATCCTTGTGCAAACTGGTGAGTCCAAATGGGATATGAATTACATAATAAATTCTTTAGGGTGATGAATTCATTAGGAAATAAAGCTGTATAAATATGAAGCCTGATTTGAAAAGTTAGGCAGATATATACATTATAAAGTACTTTTTTCCATAGATTTCTTTTAAAAATAGATCTTATCACATTAATAAAAATATACCTACTCCTGTCATTTTGGCCTGTGTCGAAACCCTAACTACTTCTGAAGATAGATTAACATCTTTTGAAATGTTTGAGCTAAACTTGTATTCCCCTCTGCTACTATCACCAAAATGGTATCTTATTTAATAATGGCATCAGAAAAACTTCTGGAAAAACCTAGAGAGAACTGGGTTGTTTTTCCTAATAACCTTTAGGTGCATGAATCAAAAAAGATTATGAATGATAAGCCCATGCTGGCATATGATACCATTTCTTTCTCTTGCTCCCAAACTAAAGCAGATTTTAGAGATTGTACCATTGAAGGTATGAGAGGTATTTTGAGAGATCATAGATCCACAGGATAACTCATAGCAATAAAGTGAAAAAAGTCAAAGCAGCAGAGACATCAGACTGAAAGGAACTTTAGAGGCCATGTAGTTCAACTTCCCCATGTGGAGGAGTGTAGGTGTGGGGCATTCCTTGGTGGCTGACCACCCAGCCTTTAACTGGACACCTACTCTAGAGGCAGAATATGCTGTTACTGGACAGTACTGTTCAGCATTCTTATCTTGAGTTCAGAGCCACTGTGCCTTTTTGCAGATTAGAAAAGGCACCTCCTCTGTACTGACTTACAAAAAGGTGACTTTTCTTCTGGGCTGATTCAGCCCAATGTCACCTAGCTTGGTCAGTCAGGTGTATTGGTTAGACTGCAAGTCCACCTGCACCTGTGGCCAACTGCCTTTTGTGCTAGACATAAACTGCCAAACACAGAGAATTTGTGAGCTTACATGTGCCTCTTTGTAATTTCTATCTACTAGAGTTAATGTTTTCTTTTGTAGTAAAACAAAATAAATCTGTCTCATCTAGTGTATGAGTCATTAAGATATTTGAAGACAGATATTCTGTCTGCCCTTAATCTCTCTTTTCATGATAAGCACATCCATCTCTTTTAGTCATTCTTTGTATTAACAAACTGCTAGATTTTATCATGGTCATTATCATTTTCATGGTCAAAGACACTTCTTTGAATGCCATCTTGATCTCTGCCAGCTCAGGGCCCATGAGAGTGCCATGTAATTTTACCTCCTGGGCAGAATTGTCAATAAATTGGGGCTTGTCACTATCCTTTTCTTTTTTCTTCTAGCATCATGCTTCTAATTTTTGACCCCTTTACCAAGTCTCTTTGTACTGTTTCTCTTTGGCTCATTATGGCTCTATGTGAAGCCTTCCATTTCTGGGAAAGGCCTCTCACCATTCCTGATCTCACCCAGAAGAAAGCTAGGCAATCTGATAAAACTGTATACCAAAAGATGCTAGTAGACCGAGGTGTTACTCTTTCCATTTTTACCTGCATTTTAGTAAAAATTTGCATATTAAGTATTCATGCATCATATCCAGTAGAGAGAAAAATCATTCTCAATGAGTGGTTCTTTTTATTACCCTCTAATAATAATTGCCGGTGTATATGGCCAAACCTGTTCCCAACACTCCGATGTGTATCAGCAAGTTGGAACTTTATCCCTGGGGACAATGAAGAGTCATCAGTAGGTTTCTGTAGGAAGGTGATATGATTAAATATGAAACAAGTCATTCTGGCTAGAGAGGGAGAGAGGTTGTGGGGAGGCTGGAGAGAGATGGTAGTGACCAGATCTAGGCTTTGGCTGTGAGGAATAGAGGGCCGCTGCAGTGTAACCTAAAAACAGGAACAACTGGCGTTCACCGTGGAGTGGCTGGAGAGTGGAGGGGAGGATAGTCTAGAAAGAACTCATTTTCCTGTCTTGGGGAGTGGATGATGAACACAAAAAGAACAATATATTTGAGAGACAGTACATTTGAAGGTGGGCCTGATGGGTTCTGTCTTGAGCTTACTATGTTTGAAGTACTGTAGGACAGGAAGAAAATGGCATCTTGGTGTTCTATCCCACAATACAATTTTATCACCAGACCAAGAACTGTTTCTTTATGTCCAAATGAAGTCTCATCTCATTTGATTTCGGTCTATTTCCTCATGAACATTCAATATCAACTTCAAGATATTACTCTTGTCTTCATGAGGAAGTAAATTTTACACTGAAGGCTGGGGTGCGAACTGTTCCAGCAGTGGGAACTGTTTTCAAAGACTGTTTTTAAACTGTGGAGACTCCAAATCTCCTATATAGAAAGGGGGGAGACAGAGTAGCAATCCCAAAGGAAAAGGAAATGGAAGAAGAGGCTAAGTTACATTTTTGAAATTGCGTTTGCCTAGCAGTCCACTCTATGTTTATTTGGAGTAGGATGATTTGGATCTGGCTCTCTTTGATTCCAGAGCCCACTATAGCCAGAGTAAATACATATTTTGATTCTTTCTACTGCACCTAAGTGGTAGTCCAGATCACTCTTTCTCCTTTTGCCTTACATTATCTTTCTTTATAATCACTTACTACTACTTCATATTATATGTTCATTTTTAATTAATGTATATTGTCTATTTCCAGAACGTAAACTCCCTGAAGCCAAAGACTTTGTTTTATTCATTCTGCAAATATATCTTAGAATACATGTGGTAGTCAGGTTTCTTTTATTTTTTCTGTCTTTTTGTTCCAGATCAGTGATTTTATTTAACTTTTACAATGTCACTTCAAAAATTACTATTCTTAGTTTGCATTAGAGTATAGTCAAATTCTACCCACAAGATCAAAATAAAAAATAGACTTTTAATTTTTCATAAACAAAAATAGCTTCCAGCCATAACATAATTTTAAAGCTAATTTTGTAATGGATTCAAAAAGCTTTACCAAAGTAAGCTTTGGTATAAAAGCACGACTTGATAGACTGATTCACAGTGTAAATATTTCTTCAGAATGTCCTTAATTATTTTTCATGTGTGTATATAAGACATTTTATTATTTTGCATTTTAAGGTTGCAGCTACTTGCTGTGGTTATAAATGAATGATAAGAACACATCTTTTATAACTTAACCTTCCAACTTTATTAATATTAATATTTTATGTTTGATTTTATTATAGCTTTCTTCTGATTAGAATTTAATATAGAGAAGTTTTATTCATGTGGTTGTTAACGGCATTTTGAATGAGCTTTGGGAGAATTACAATGTAACACTGCTGGATACAGAATGATTCTTTTAGACACCAAGACTAATAATTTTTAACAATATCTAAAAACATTGTAGGAAAAGCTTGAACCATGCTGGCACCAGGGACAGACAGGCATGAAAGATTAATGTAATCTTGCATATAATGATGCACATTCTTACACAAAAAATCCATCTGCAGTGTCACGTCAGTCAGCAGAAATCTTTGATGGGTGGATACAGCTGGGCTGTCTCTTCTGGCAGAGCTGCTCTAGAAAATGCTAAATGTGGTTGTGATGCTTGGTGCCATCTGCAGTGTGCCCGTTTATCCTGTCTTCACTGGCATTTGCAATACTGCATAGGGCATCAGTGACTGTGGAGACAGCGATACAGAGTGACAGATTTATTTCCTCAGAGGATCCGGGCTCTAGTGGGCCTGTGTGCCACCCTGCTCTTCTGGTTTGGGTCTCTTGTTATTGGTGTTGGCTTTACTTCCTATTTTCACATCCAACTCCTCCTCTTTTTAGTCTAGCAGTTCCAGATACACATTTTTCTGGTATGTAAATCTGACACTAACCTTTTAACTAATTTATTCATGTAAGGTTGCCAAAACGATTTAACATTGACTGTTCGATGCCAGCTAATACGCCTTATTTTGAAAATACTGCTGCTCCCAAGCTTCTGATTTAAAGGAAATGTGCCTTATTTAGAGAACACTACACAGGCACCAAGATAAATTCACTAACCACTATGAGTGGGATATCCCCAAGTGACTTACATAGTTCGAACAAACACATGACCCTCTTTTCCATAAAGCTATAAAACACATCAAGCAGCTAACACTTCTTCCTCTTTCCCTTGATTAAAATATAAATATTCAAGGTTAAATGTTGTTTTATGACCTGACCATATGTTTATCATATTATTTTGCCAAACCAAGTTAAAAAAGAGTAGGTCATTGTTTAAAATTTCACTTTTTCTGTGTGTGTTTTTTAATAGTAACAGAATATGAAGGGCATGCTCTGTCACTACTTGAGGAATGCGAACTCCAGGGATTTGATGGGTAGGTTATACTATTATTCTATGTGAATCGTATAGATTGTGTTAACACATGTTTTTATTAGTTTTTAGCCATATATTTGGGACCTATAATTTTTAAATATTTGTGATGTATGTAATTAGGCTCTGTTGATACCTATGTAATAATTAATGATAGTAATATTACATAGTCATCTACTTCTCAGGATCTGGAATGGGAAAGCAAAAGGAGAAATCTAAGTACTCACAATGTACTGCCCTATGTTTACCTAATGTGCATACAGTTGTATCTGTAATTCTTGGTTTTTACCATGTGAGTATCTAGAAAAGCATTAATGGAAGATATTATATTGGTCATATGGCATAAGTATACTGTGATCCTATTCTGCAAATTTACTGATAGTTTTAACAGCTACCCATTGGTTAATTTTGCTGTGGTTGATTGGGGGTAGATGTTTTATAAAAACAAAGACACTATTTTCAGAATCAATAAAATGTGTTAATTATAACTATATCTTATAATTTAATGACTACCAAGTAAGTGTGTTATTCACAGCTGGCATCAGAAACTGTTGTTTGCAATACATTGTTGTAGTGTGCAGAGATTGCTCACTGGCGTGCAAGTATAGGAAACAAGGCAAGTGACGTAAATTTAATAGCCATTTTTTAAAATTAGGTGAAGCAATTTGCTGAAGTGCTGGATTGATGTGTAGGACTAAAACTTACTGTATTCCTTTAGGGGAGGTTTTCCGTAAGGGTGGATATTTGAGAATTTAAAAAGTTAGCAAGTATGTTAATTACTTTTGTCACTTGGTAATGGGCAGGGGGCAATAAAAAGCCATAAGGTCAGGACAGGTAGTTGGGTCTGCACTTTGACCAAGTGAAAAGCTTTAATCTTCCCGGGGAGAACTATTAGATGTGATAGGGAAGGAAGTGATGTAACCAAAATTGAGAGGAGTAAATTTAATTATAAATGGCAATAATACGTAAGTATTGAGAATTAAGAGTATGAGGTAGGAGATTACTTCAGAACTTTATAATTAGCAGTAGACAGAAGGATTAATGGGCTGCATTTAGGAAAAAAAGTAATCAGGAGAATCATGCCCACCGACTACCTACTTTAATATGCTGCATAGTCCTGAGCCGGAGCTCATGAGTATATGAGGGTAGCTGCATTGCAAATGAGTCCTTGCTTCAAAACTCGATTATATAAATAATGAGAATAACAGATATTACAGATACTAAATCCAGTCTTGCCTACCAGCATTATGAAGCATCCTGCTGAGTGTGGTATCCATAAATGTGTTCTGTTGGTAATTATACTGTGGCAAGGATTAAAATAATTTTGCAAAATGAAGACTTACTCAAGAGCAGTCTAGTAATGTTTTTCTCTTTACCTGAACATATTTAGTTCCTTTTTATTTCTTATGGCAGGCGTTGTTATTTTTCAGTGAGGTGCTAAAAAATATATAGTTTCTTCATTTATTAGCCACATTTTTAAAACCAAATAGTTTGGCCTAACCATTATATGAATTGAGTTTCATAATTTAACTGTTTCGAAACACTACAGCATGCTAATTTATTTTGGACTTATAATAATTTAAAATTTCTATTGAAAGTCATTTGTGTTCTAAGATCCTTTAAATAGCTAATTTATTTCCATGGGTTCCGTTTTTCCAGTAGGAGCTGTTATGGTGGTTGGGTAATTACCTTAATAAAATGGTAATTTTAAGTCACTATACTTAGTCACTATACATAGAGAGGTATGTGAGAACAATGGAAACAGTTTCTCTAGGCACTCCAAAGGAGTTTCTCTAACAAGGAGAATTTGCTTGAAAATGGAATAGTCTACCTTGGTGGGTTTCCTATCCCTGAGCCTATTCAAAAAGTGGGTATAAGAGCACTTTTTGAGAAATGTATAGAAAAGATTTAAGGATAAGATAAGGTAACCCCAAGATGCTATGCCATTTTGTGGAGAGACAGGTGCACATTCCTTTATGAACTTTAGCTTGAGACGTATGTCTTCCTGACTCTAGTGGAATTATTGATGGAACGTAATTAGGAAATCACATAGCAGTTTGGTTTCTAGACACAGGCTAGAGAGGTTAAGATCCAAGAAAGATTCCATGTAGGATATTCCGTAAAGCAAAGTCATTTGGTTAAAAAAAAAACATGTTTAAGAAATGCTATTTGCTAAGATTTTGGAGTTTAAAAAAATGAATTACATATGTTTTTATGAAGACACATTGTGACATATTTCTAAAGTCAACAGAAACAGTGTGTCAGTACTCAGGACAGCTGGTGCCCCACTCCAGTGTGTTCTAGCAAACACTCAGATCCACTGCTAAAGCTTGTAGGGGCTTTAGATTCCATATTGACCTGTACTAATACTGGGCATGAATAGGAAGTTTGTAAAGGCAAAGAAAAGAGTAATAGTAGCTGCATAAACTTGAAGCAGTAATGATTGCATTTATAAGTGTGAATATAGTTAAATTTGTGGCTTTTCTGCAATCGTAAATATACTAATTCTTTGCTATTTGTTTCATAGTGTTTTTTTACTAAATTTATTGAATTACACAGTTTTGTTGTATTTTATTTTATTTTATTTTATTTTTGGGTTATTTAACCATTAACTAGACCCACAATAACCTAGAAATTATTTGGCTAATATAGACATTTTATCAGATTGACCATGATATCTGTATTACTTAGTAAAGTTAAAAAACAAAAAAACAAAAAAAACCCTATTTTCCAAAAAGAAAAAGTCTAAATTGAAAACCCAATAATGTATTCAATATTTCAAAGATGATATTTGTTGACAGATAAATATACAAACACCCACTTAAAAATATCTTTCTTATCACTTTTTAAAAATGGAAATAAAATATTAGCCACCAGTTTTACTCTTCTATAGAGAATCATTCTTCTTGGGCCCATGGCAAGAAGGAGTTTACTTATTCTGAAAACTTAAGATTTACCATGTGCAAAAGATTAGTTACTGTAAGGTTTATGTTTTAGAGTAACTCGTAAGTGTGGTTAAATTAACTCATTATAAAAGATTGATTTTTTTTCTTGTAGTATCCAGACTCTTGTGATACTTTTGTATTGAGCATATTTCCTATGTTGAACATTTATACCTAGATATGATCTTAATAATCTAGTAGTTGTCAACATAAGTAAGTATATTCCTTCTTAACTCGTTCAATTTCACATTGTTTCTACTGACTTTCCAAACAGTAAACTTCTCATAAAAAAATTTTTCATTGAGTATAATATATTTTGAGTAATAGTGCAGTCTCAAAGGCCAAATTGTCTTATTTTAAAACCCTGTTCTATCACTTACTAATGGTATTACCTTGGAAAATTCACTTAATCTTTCTATGTTTTAGTTTTCTAATCTATAAATTGAGAGTAATAGTATTTATTGCCTTCAGTTACTCTTCAAGTCACGTGAGTTAATACATTGTGAGTGCTGAGAATAGTGTCCGATATACAGGGTAATTATTCACTCAATGTTACCTTATTATCATAATTATAATTATCGTAATTTGTGCTAGTTTTAAAAGATTTAACACAGAATGAAAAACGTTTTTGTAGCAGAGCATGTTCATAAAAGGCCATCTCTACTAACTCCAGCCATGAGTTAACTTATACATGATGCTATAACTAGATGCAAAATTCCAGGAGTCAAGTGTTGCCATCCTACATATGTAAGAGTTACGTTTTCTGATGCTAAATTAGATGTTTTGTTTTTTTGTTTTTTTGTTTTTGTCTTTTTCCGTGTCCAGCAACGGATCGCAACCCTCAGTGTTGCCCCCGTACCGGACCGAGACCGGCAACGGGACCACAACCCTCGGTGTTGCTCCCGCGCCTCGCTCAGCCAGTGAGCGGGAACCAGTCTGTATGTGGGATCCGAACCCTCGGGCAGGAGCGCCGCCGTGCTTCCCAAGTGGCGCACTATCAAGTGCGCCACCGGGCCGGCCCTTTGTTTGGTTTTTTAAATGATTTTTATGTGATCCTTTTAGGTCACACACATATGTCATCCTATAGACAGACATGGATTGGAAGTTATGCTTAAGTTCATAGAATGTTTAGAAATCTCATGGAGATTTTTGAAATCAAACAGGCAAGTTCATATTAAACTTTGGTTTCCCCATTTATAAAGATGGGGCTAATGCCTCAGAGAATTCTGAGGATTTAATAGAAAAGAGTAGATATATTGTCTGACATACAAGGGTACTTTCCAAAAACTTCATGGAAAGATTTGTATTATCTTTTAATTCTATTTTTCCATGAACTTTTTGATGTACCCTTGTATAGTGTGTCCTCAGTAGATATTATCCCTTTTCCTTGAATAAGTGGCCAAATTGTAAACTCCCAGAATCAGTTCAGATGTTAAAAAAAATAATACAACTAACCAAAAATGACCTGGGTCACATCCTGAGCCTCTTCTAACCAGAGAGGACCTGGATTTCCCAGGCTATTTGAAGCCTCAGCTACATGAACAGACTAGAAAGTTGAGCTCAAGGTGGAGGGATTGATAGAAAAGGTGCTTTCAGCCTCTGGTCACCACCCTCTAGAGTTTCCTAAGCTTCGGGAACCAGTAACCCCTGTTGATTATGGCTCATAGGCTGTTCTGTCTGACACGTAGAGTTTTTAAATGCATTGAATGCCAGTTGCTATTATTTACAAATTAGGCGAATCACCCTAAAAACAGAATCTCTATCTTCTTTAGAAAAATCAGAAGGTCAGGTTCTGCTCTGCTGGGCCTCCCCATGATGTGAGTGAGCCGCGGCTGAGAAGCTGCTGCCCCTATAGGCATGAGCATACTCTTCCATTCCTGCCGGACACTCGTAGGCCATGAGTTGTGACATTTGCTTTCAATATGCAAAATCCTCCTCCTTTTGGGTGAATTAATGATATTTTGATACTTAGATTATTTTGCATTTTTAAAATACAAGTGATTATGCGGGCCGGCCCGGTGGCACACTGCTACAGTGCACCGCTTGGGAGTGTGGCGACGCTCCCGCCGAGGGTTCGGATCCCACNAAATCCTCCTCCTTTTGGGTGAATTAATGATATTTTGATACTTAGATTATTTTGCATTTTTTAAATACAAGTGATTATGCGGGCCGGCCCGGTGGCGCACTGCTACAGTGCACCGCTTGGGAGTGCGGCGACGCTCCCGCC